GACATGTCACGTGACATTACAAACTTTAAAAAAAAAATGTATATAAAAGTGATAAATTACACATTTGATCATTTAATTGTTTTAAATTTTCTATTTTGGTCACCAAACTTTTAAAAAATCTTAATTTCATTACAAACGCTAATAAAATTTATTAATATTTGGATCTCCATTATCAGTGTCCACTATGGACATGACATTACAATGATACAGCCACAAACATTTATGAAATTTAATAGAATATATTACTTTAATAGTTCTATTATCTATATTATCTTAAGATAATATTCAAATAAACTTTCAAGTTTTATAAAAAAATAGAAATAAATGCTTTATATTTTATTCCATGAAATTAAAGTTATGAAAATTTAAATCTCATTAAATAATAAAAATATTAAAGGTTTAGTTTTATTTTTTATTAAGTAAAAAATCATAGTTAAAATTTCAAGACTTATTGTAAAATAAAATAAAATTTCATAATCTTAATTTCAAGCAATAAAAAATTGAGGGTTTATTTTCATTTTTTATAAATCTCAAGCTTTTATTAAAGTAATAATCCAAGATATTTCAACATAGAAAAACAAAAGTAGTAAAGAAAATTATTATATTAAATTCACAATAGTTGGTGACAAATTTGTTACAACTAGAATGTTACCTCTGTTTCGCATGGCAATTTTTTAATTTTTATAAAAAATAATCTAAAAAGTTTTATCTTTTTTAGTTTTAAATTTTTTAGATTAAAAAAAAGAGTTTGAAAATCTTATATCTAGAGTTTTTTATATGGTTGTTTGTGTTGATTAGTTGTTGTTAATTTTTTTTATAATTTATTAAAAAATATTAAATCTAATATTTTTAGGTTTTTAATTATAAATTTTTTGTTTTTAAAAGACATTTTTTAAAATATTTAAATTTTTGGACCTGATAATTTTTAAAGAATTTTTATTATTTTTTATGAGATCTTTTGGTTCATTTTTATGTAGGTTATTTTTTCAATTGATTATTTTTAGTTGCAATATTTTTTTTTTGTCTTAATAAGTGATTGAAATTTAATATATTGGTTAGTTTTAAGATTTTGAAGGTTTAGTTTTTCTTTGACAAGTTAGATATATTTTTATGGATTTTTTTTATTATTTAGGTGCTTTTTTTTCTTTACAGAAGCATTTGAGGGTATTGTAATTGCCAACAACACATCGTCATTTCTATACTCAACTCTTATTATGGTTTTTTTTATAATTATATAAGCAAATAATTTTTTTGAATTTTTTTTATTTTAAAAATTTTCACATGGTAAGTAAAAGGTTTTGTCATATGTTAACGTTATAACTATTAAAAATATTTGAAAAAAATAATTTTTATATAGGATAAACCTCTATTACATACATCTTCCTTAACTTTGACCTAACAAAAATCAAGGTACTCTAATTAAATACCTTTCCCATCACTCTAATAAACAAGATGAATATTCTGTCACCAAAAAAACAGTGTAACTGTACTGTTAATGTATGATCTATCATGTTTTCTAAGTTACTCTTTTATCTTTTTATGACTCTGTATATATGACTTGGAATCTATTAATCACCCTACTTGAAATTATTAATTAGGACTTATCTATAATATTTATTATGCCATTACTTTCTTTTATTATTTGATGTTTTAAAGTAATAGATCTTCTTTTTGTATTCAAATGGTAAGTCTTATTCTGTGTTGAGTTGTAAATACAATTATTTTTTATTGAATTGTTAGGTGTCAATCCTAATAAAAAATTTAAACCCTAAATCTTTAAAATTTTAAATCTTAATACATAATTTTATTTTACTACTATGACAAAGCGCGGGCTTCTATCTAATATATATATATATATGCTTTCTTATTAATTTAAAACATATACCACAAACTAAAATTTGACATGTTATTTTTAAATTAAATAAAAAAAAGTTTGTCAATTTTTTTCTCACCAAGAAAATTAACTTTCTTTTTTTTTTTAATTCAATGTTTATTGCTTTTTTATGTTTAAAAATGATTATAACAAAAATTCATTTTCTATACATCATCAATGAAAATTTTAATTTACATAAGTGAGACTCAAATATGTTTTTTTTCTTATGATATTAGTTATTTTTTTAATTTTATTATATATATAAGCATATATACAGATTGTAATGGAATGTTTGAATATAATTTGAAAAGAAAAACAAATTTCTATGGATTCAATATCGAGAATAGAGATTAATACTGCTAATTTGAACCTTTTATTATCATTCACACGTGCTGTGAAAGTCATATATTATGAATAGTGATTAATTTATATTAAAGAGTAATAAGAAAAAAAAATAATGGAAAAGAGCCTAAACTTTGAAAAAAGCATGCATTTCTTCTAAAACATATATGCAGATCATTAATTGTTTTTTGGGCTTAGAATTTTTTTTGTTGAAAATGTGTATTATTGAGTTCTTATTAATATATTTATAAACATAGGCATAAAGTTTCCATAAATCCATTCCTCCTACTTATTTCCTCTCATTTCGAACATTTTTAGGTTTCTTATATGATACAATCTTTTTATCATAAATTATACTATATATTTTAGAAGTTGGTAAATAAAAAAATTGTCAAATAAAATTAAATTGAATATGTGCATCTATTAATTTTGGGTATCAAATCTCATAATTATTTTCAAATCTTAACGTAAAACTTTTTTTATTTTTGTTTCAAATTCATTTTTTTTATGATTTTTTTTTATTTATAGGCATTAAATGTCTATCAAATGTTGCAAAAATAAAAAAATTTTAGTTTAATAACTACAACATGCTACATCCTATACGGTACATATATGTTTTTTTTAAAACAAAATGTATGATTCTATATATTCTTACATAAATTAATTATATTATACTATTTAATATAATTAAAATTTAATCATTTGTTCATTTTAATTCAATTATAATATTTTTTCATTTATTTTTATTTTATAATAATTATTCAAAAAGCAAAAATAAATAATAAATACACCAATTAAAAGAAAAACTTGATTGACCAGTCATGGCTTTTAAAAAATTAAATAAAAGCAATGCACGTTTATTTATGGCACTGTCAACAAAAATAAGTCATCAATCAAGTCTGAAGACTTTTAACTTTGGCCTATTTGCGAATCGAGGTATCTAAACTGAGACTTACGAACGGTGAGGTAAGCTTCATTATAAACAAATATAAAACAAAAAAAAAAAAAAAAACATAATAAAGATAGATGACATCTACAAAATCTCTCACAAATTTTTTTTATATAAGGTAGATAGTTGTTACATTGATAGCGAAAATAAAAAATTAATAAATTTTATAAATGTTGGTGTCCAAATTATAATTTTTTAAAGTTGAACGAATAAAATAAAAATTTTCAAAAAAAATAAATGATCAAATATGTAATATATATTTTTTTATTTTTAAAATTCATTTTTAGCTCAATTGCCGAGCTAATTATCGAATTAAAAGACCCAAAAAAAAAAAAATCGTAGCTAATTTATACTAACCCCAATTCATTTCCTTATCTTAAATCAAGTCAGATTTTTGCCATTTTATTCAGTTGGGGATTCTTGTTGCAACATATGATTATAAAAATTAAAGTCATTTCATCTCCAACGCATTGCAACCAAGATGTGAACTGGCAAACAAAAGCTAACAACTAACCAACCTAAATAAATTAATAAAATTGGACCGCCACTCCATAAAGCTTTATAATCATTCATCAAACATATTTAATTTAGGTAGCCGTTATAAACTACTTTAAAAACAATGGCAAAGGAAAAAGCCTACCTAAATTGGAACGGACATGCCTAACCACGTATGACCGTTTGAGATTGATGACCAATTGTAATTTAGCCGTTACAGAATCCGACGAAACCCAAGGAGAAAATTAGCTGGCAAAGGAAGTTCTATAATAGACATACTCCGAATTCTCATTTTAACTCCAAATTATGACAAAAATTTAATTTAATTGATTTATATAATTATTTTAAAATTTTGATATTTAATAAATTTAAAATTTTATAACAGTATTTGTGATTTCTTTATTCAAGTTATAACTGTTTTAAAAAAATTTATTTTTCAATGATAAAAAATTAAAATATCATAAACATATTAGTTCAAATAATTTGAACAAGATGACATTAAATTTTATTATATAACAATTCATAATTTATATATTATATTAAAAAAAATTTTAAATTCAGAACATTTTATTACTATTTAAGTGCATTAAGCTTTTATTTTATAACTAGAGATAGAGAAATAGAATATTCCTGCCTGCCTGTGCCAGTAAACGACCTTCTGTTTGAAGAAACCAAAGTGCATCTGATCCCACATCCCTCTCATCCTACATTTATAAATAAATATAACTTCATTCATTAAGCATTTCCTTTTCTTTCTAAGCACAACTCTGAGAGAGAGAAAGAGAGAGAGAGAGAGAGCAAAGACTGATCATTGTGTGCTTCTTCATTCCCTTGTTTGTAATTATTGGTGATGGCAAAGACGAGTTGGTCACTGAAGAAAGTGGTTGGAAAGGAAAGCTTTTGGCCCTGGAAACTCTCATCAGCTTTCAAGCGGAAGAAGCCTATTGATTTTCACATGAAAATCGTTGACAATTTGGTTTTCAGGGTTCTTTATGTCGTGGAAGCCATTGTTCTTGTCTCCACTCTCTGCTTCTTCTATCTTTGCTGCGGCTGCCACATTTGATCCTACTTATTCTTACATGTATTTATTCATTCTTGCTTTTCTTTTTCCTTTTTTAGCATTTTTATTTTAAGAATATTTTAAAATTTTGAAAAGTAGCAGAAACCATTGTGAGGTCCGACAGGCTGACTCCTAAAGCAGTGCAGGTCTGTTTCTGACCAAGTTAAAGCCGGCATCTAGGCCACTTCAAAGAGCCCGAGCTTGTTTAAGGATATATTGGACATAATAGCTCACATTGTGAACATTAGGTTGTCCGAAATTTTAGGCTATTTGTCCGAACATATGTCAAGTTTTGTTCTAGAACTTCATGTGCACTTTGGTTCCTTGTTTTAAAGGCAGCAGCTAATTTCTCTTTACAAGACTACAAGCCAATCATTAAGTTGTCCAAAAGCAAATAGTATTAAATTTAACTCTTAAAACACGACATACAATAAATCTGAAATTTAAATTTTAACATAGGTAACTCATATCTCCAAATTACGACTTTCTTCTATAAAAATAAAAAAAAATAATAAAAAAAAAAACTAAACAACATTGACTTTAACGTGCACAAAATTCCCAACAGATCCTAGTTATTGAAAAACAATCAAGGACATAAACCTAATATTGAAACCACCCAAACTGAAATGATCCAAAGCTATATATGCGCCTCCAAAATGTAGATAGAACCTGCTATGTCTTTGCAGTGTAAAACATAATACTAAAGTCAACTCAAATCCACCTCTAGAAAGTAGAAACCCAATCTCAATTCAAATTGGTTAGGGAAGTCGATGGTACATACCTGAACTAAATCTCACCTCAAAACTTAAATCAGTTTTCTGATCCTCATTAGACAATATAGGTTCCAACTTCCATGCTAAATGCAGGAATCAAGCTATTGATCAAAAATAACCACAATCAAGTTATTTTACTTCTACATGTATAGAACAGAAAGCATACACATCTCTGCTCTCGCTGATTCCAATACTTTTTTTAGTCAGATGAGCAGAAATTGTGGAGGGCAAAAAAAAAAAACAGCACTCTATCTTTTATGATGCTTAGAGCAATCAAATTTAACATAATTAAGTTGCTTTCTGACGAACAAACCGCTGCAAACTTTTTGGCATTTCTGTTTCCACATTAGTTTTCTGCTTCTTTCTAGACATTTCTTGTTCCTCTATTCTTTGCTCCAAGAAGGGCCTCTTGGCTCTATCTATAATCTCCTTTCTCTTTTTTGCTCTCTTACTTGGCTTATTCCTTCCCTTTGTTTTCTTTTTAAAGTCAGTATCCCTGGCAGCTTCAACAGCAGCTTCCATTTCTGCTTCTCTCTCCTCCTTTGTTGGCTTCTCTTTCTTTCTTGCTGCTCTCACTGTACCAACCTTTGTTGGGTCCAACATGATTGTTTCAGGGGGAAGCTTGTCAAGCAGAGAGTGCACTTCCTTCTCTCGCCTCTGTTTAGATGTTTCAAATGGGTTTGCCACCCAAGAATCAAAGTTGGGTTCCCCTGATCCTGGAATTAGAATACTAGACCAACCCATGGAGTGCCCTATTCCCAGTACATCTTCATATGGTCGAAATAAAACTTTTCCCACCTGGTAACCTTTTGCCATAGAATGAGTCATATATCTGCTATAATTCTGAGATCCAGAAAAATCGGCTAAAATTTGTATGAATGAGCCAGTTCCAGCAGCAAGCAAGCCTTTCTGACTGAAATTCAAGGTCTTTGCATTGCCTGGCAATGTTTGGATAACCTCAAACTTCCTCAGGTCCCAAATCTTGATTTTTTTTTCTTTCCCAGATGTAGCCATGAGATGGCCATTGGGGTGGAATGCCAACGATGAGAGAGGTCCTGGATGACACAACATCTTTACAAGTGGAGCAGCACTGGTGGGCTTCCACATCGTTACTGTACCACTTGAATGACCTAAGGCAACAACTCCATTGAATGGATTGACCTGCATAACATCTGTGCAGCCCAACCCAGTCCGAAAATTACCTACCATCTCACCCATTGTAACATCCTGATAATGAAGCTGCCCAAACTTGTTTATTGATGCCAAGAGGAAGTGGTTTTTAAGAAACTGGAGTCTTAGTACTGCACCATGTTCCTGAAAATAAAAGCTTTAACTCAGTTTGCTCAATGTATATTGAGCATACTTAACAAGAAGGAAAAAGGGATGCAGCCAAAAGTGGGTTGCTAACAATGAATTCCGACTCCAAGGGGGTACTTGAATATGGTAAAAGCAAAAGATTTCCTAAAGGTAGTACTACAAGAATCATGATCAGATTTAATGTGCCTATGCACCATCTAAACCACAGAATAACCAAAGGTAACAAACATGTCTGGGCCAAAGGAAAAACAAAATAGTTGAAGAAGTAAAGACCAAGAATTTTATTTCAGATTAGCCTCATACTTAGTGAATGCTAGTCAAATACATACATGCATACATAGAGGGGAGGATGAAGAGAGCAAGACACAAGAAATTATTTAAGTTTCTGGGAAAACCATTGTAAGCTGGATTAAAGGCAGGTGGAACAACAGCAAGGTCGGATATAAAACAAACCCCACCATAGCTTTTAATCATCCTACTGTCTAATAAAGAAAAGAATAACCATTTAAATGGTTTCTAGAAAATCATAGATGTTGAAAGACCACGCACAACTCATTAAGTAGTGCAATTCATAGAAAGGTATGCTGACCTTTAAACAATGAAGTTCAGTTCCATCACGATTATAAATATAAGGGTACCTGCAATAATTAACACCTTAGCTGCATTACTCAATAAAGCTTTCATACAGATGACTTAACATTAGATTTATGGGAATATCAGTAATAGATGAAAACAAATTTTAAATTGGTACAACTGATGAAGATAAATGAGTTGCTTTCATAAGACAGTTTTGCATCCAACAGAGAGCAGGCCTATGCCAAGGCACATGCACCAACTAATCATATAGATTTTGAGGCGCAGACTCCATGCAGATGCAAGTATAAGGAAAAAGACTCATTTTTCTAAGTGAAATTTCCACTACTAATAAGAGAGAAAGCTTACTTTTTCTGAGCAGCAGCAAAAAAAAGTTCATTATGCAAGTACACTACATCACGTACTGTCTCTCTGACCTGAGAAACATAAGAACAGCAATTATACTTAAATCAAAGTAACGCTCTAGTAAAATATGTACCATACAATTAATGAAACTGATTAATATTAAGCATTAATGGATAATCTGAAATACAAGGAAAAAGTAAAAATTGCAAATAATCATTTATTATTATATAGTCCCACCTAATTATTTAATCTCAGGATACTATTACTTTGCTAATATAGAAATATTAGCAATACATCCCAGGATAGAATCCTTCAGTAGTATATCAAGTTTATTGACCACTTTATGTAACATTCAAAGCATGCAACCAAAGTTCTACTTTGCTCCAACTTGCAGAATTCTATAGGCACCTAAGGATGCTACCTGACTGAGGTCTTCAGTGCACAAAAAGCAATGAAAAGAGCATATGCACATTACAACATGATGAAATTAGCCTATATCCTTTTGAAATTGTCTATGTCTATAATTTAAATATATCATCATTAATGAACAACAAAATAACGGTTATTAATTTTTACCTTCACTACAATCTTAGGTCCTTTATAACAACACTTCAGTGGCATTTTCAGGTTTCTCATACCAAGATGATGCTACAGGTATAGAATGGCTGTCCAATATAAGAGTCAAAGAATGAACCAATGGGCCTTGCAGTAGAAAAGAAGACACTTGGGTCTAACAATTGCATGGTTCACATGAATTTGGCTGCCATAGGTTCTAATAAGATTAAGTTCTATCTAGTGAATTTTATATTCTTCCGGCTGAGATGTATTTGAGAATTTGGCCCATACTATCAATTTATAAAACTAAAAATTGATATCAAAGCCCCCCAAGCAAATGGGTGGAATGAGACACAGAACATGTATCACATGTATTCCTTTTGTAGAATGAATTACAAGAAAAATTGCTCCATATAACACCCATCTTCAAGAATAGACATTAAATTGAAACCACAGAACAACCCTAAGCTGATTTAGATCAAAGCATAGGTGAATTTTCAAATAAATAACACTAAAATAGAAAAGTTTGAGACACAAAATAAGACAATATCGCTGAAGCAACAAGAAACAACATCCCTTAACAACCACAACTTTTGATTTTAGCTGGAGCACTGCATACCTGAATCTCTTTAATTAGGTTTAATGTCTTCATATCAATAATAGCCAGATGGCCCTTGCGTCCAGCAGCTGCCATATACCGACCATTGGAGGTGAAATCTAGAGTATATGGACCAAGTTCTGCACATGTAGACATCAAACTAATGAATACAAGAAAAAAATATAAACTAAAAAAAAAAGCTATAACTATCATCAAGTTAACAAAATACATCTAGAAAATTACAGTTAAGACCCCTAGAAAGGCTGGTTGGTTGTGTTATCTTGTAATGTAGAAAAAAAATGCTTATAATCTAAACCACTAAAACCTTCTGCAAATAATAACAATAACTTGAAATAAATTATGAGTATTTGGGTATGTTGGCACCTGGTAAAACAATATCATACTGGCTCCTTGAGCTTAAGATATCCACCTCTCGAGCAATGGATTCTTGCTTGATCCTCCATGTTTTCTCTATACCTTCTGCCTCCAAATAGCCACCCTCACTTGGCAAAAGCCACTGAAAAACAAAAATGGCAAATTTAAGAACAATCAAATTCCAACAGACAATTAAAAAAAAAACCGCATTTATTAGAAGGGAAGAAGAATTTCACTTTCTCAATCTTGGCAGCAGCTTTGGCAGATTTTCCATACAACTCTTCTCTTACAGCAAGTTGACCCTTTAGTTTTTTGTCTTTTAATCCCTGCAGAAAATGAACTAATGATCAAAAAATAAAAATAAATAGATAAAATAAATAAAACAAGAAACAAATACAAACATATATTACCTCCAAATTAGCAGCTTCTCCTCTAAGATACTTCTTTACTTTTTGGTCCATCTCATCATCACCGTTCTCTTGTGTTGCACCCATTGTCATAGAAAGAAAAAGGAAGAGACGCAAGACTGGCCTGCCTGTCGCAAGGGGCTTGGGTGAGACGTTCACGTTTCAGTCTGCGCTTAGGGAAGCTTGGCTGCTGGGAGCTTGGGGGGAAGGCGCTGAAATTGAAGGAAGAAGCACGAAGCGAAAGGGTTAAGGGCATAGAAAATGAATGGGCTTTTACATCAGTGACTACTAGAGCCCACCCAAATTTGAGGTAGAAACTCTGAAAGTTGTTGCCCAAATCCAATTTAGAAGCCTGGCTCATCAATTTTTACGGCTCTAATGCTTCCGGGTCTTGAATGACTCCAAGCCTGGACTACAATCAGGTTTCATCGGGAAGTCCCCGTCCAATTTCTAAAACTATCATTTCATTTCTTCCAAAAATAATAATAATAATAAAAGTTCGAATTTACGGAAATCAATTGTACTTAAATCTATTTTCAATAAAAGATTAAAAGTACACGATTAAATTCATTAAAATTACAGTTTAAAAAGTGTTTGATAAATCAATAAAAATTTTCAAACCATTTTAGAAAATCATGTATTGTAAAATTTTTAATGAAAAAGTATTGAAAATACTAAATAGTTAAAAGTTATTTAATATATTAAATCAAATTTATTTAGAAATGATTAATGTCGTGAATTACCCTTAAATTATAACAAAATAATTAATGTAATACTTGAATTTTAAAATTTTTAATAAATATTTTATGAATCTGTTAACTACTATAATATTTAAAGAATTATTTATTTACTACATTTTATCATTTAAAATTAATCACATTAGTGATTAATACTGCATTAGTTAATATATTCATTATTTAAATACCACATTAAAAATTTTTAAGATTTAGATACCACATTAAATATTTCATTATAATTTTAAAGTCATTCATGATATTAATTGTTTTTTAATTTTATTATTAATTAAATTAATTTTATATTCTTTTCGTTTAACCATTTATTCTTCATTGTTTGAAGTTTTATCAATTAAAAATAATTATAAAATCGTAGCTTTTCTTTGCAAAAAAATCAATAAGAATTTTACTAGTCATTTAATTTTTCAATAGCATAACAAAAAATTTTAATTTTCAAAACCTACCCCTTAAAAATTGAATGAACCATATGAAATTGAATCCGACCTATGTTTTCAATAATTTTTAGTCAACAAAATGGTACATGTTTGAAAATCCTAAGGAAAATAAGAAGTTAAAGCATTAGATGGCGACGAGGCGAGCAGATGCTTTGGCAACCATGAGGTTTGGTTGGTGACACAGATTTGAGCAATTATTGAACTTTTGATCGACTTATAAGTTAAATTAATCCTCAATTGGAGACTATTTACTTAAATTTAAATTAAATTAATAATTAAAAAATGGGAATTTTTAAAATTTGTCCCATGGTTTGGTGGTCTAGTTAAATTTTAAAGTTGATCTATGATTCAAGGGACAAAATCTTGTAATTATTTTAAAAATGACAAAGGTGTTAATTGAGACCTAGAAGAAAATAAAAAGACACTATCTACATATATGTTTAAAAAATAAAAAATTATCATATTTATCGATAATGTCATAAAAAATAATAAGATGATACATAATTTTTAAAGTATAATGTAAAAAAATTAAAAAAAATAAGTTAAAAATAAGATTAATGTATAAAAATAAGATTAATTTTATAAAATTAAAAATTATAATATTAGTGTATAAAAAATCTTAAAAATTAATAGATATGAAGTTTAAAATTCTTTGATCAAGGTTTTATAAAAAAAAAAAAAAAAAAAAAGAGAATAGTGTACATAGGGATGACAACGGGTCGGGTCGGGGTGGGTTTTTGTCCGCCCTAAACCCGACTCAACTTTAAACATGCAAAATTCGAATCCGACCCGATTCAATAATTTTTTATTATTTTTATATCCGAACCCGATCCGATATTTATATAAAATCATATCCGATCCGACCCAAATTAATAAAATATTATTTTTAATATAAATATAAAATTATATATATAAATATATATAAATAATTATAAAATTAAATAAATAATTAAAAAAATTATTTATATATATATCGAGTCGGATAGGGTCGGATTTGTCTAAAATTCGATCCCAATTTTTTTTCATGTCACCCGACCTGACTCAATATCCAATTTTTTTTTAAAAAAAAGTAACTTTAAAAGATCGAATCAGATCGAAACCGTCGATTACAAATTTTTTTGCCTTCCCTAAGTGTACAAGTAGTCAAGTTAATTTGGTAGAGATATATTATTTAGTTTCCAACAACTTCACGCAGCTGTGGAATATACAAATTAAAATGTCGAGCTTATATTTGCATGCTTACTGCTTTGAAATAAAAAAACAGCAAATTGTTTGTCTCAATTATAAGGAGGCATTAAAATTTTTTTGTGAATTTATTTTAATTTTATATTGTAATTTCATTAAAATTTTATAATTATGACTTTTAGTGAGACAAGTATTTTAGTTTTTAAAATTTTATTCTTGCATCTAAAATGAAAGACCTTAATTTTATATAAAAAATTAATTAATTAAATTAAAACAAATAAATTTAATATAAAATTAAATTAAATTTCCAATGATATACTTGATCTCCAAGTCTCAAAGTTTCAAGAACTCATTTATATAATTTAAGAGAAAATTTCATTGCCTTAACAACCTTAATTAAATTGCTTAAACATATAAAATGATAAAGATTCCTTCACAAACAAGACAGCCACAGCCAAATTTGAAGATCTTGATTTGACGTGTATGATGTGGACTTGGAAAACTACAATTACAATCATGGAATGTTTTTCTATATTCTTTTCATATTAAAACAACCAGAACATACAATTATATAATTACAATCGATGTCCTTAATCACGCATTTAAATAAGAGGGCAAAGTTTAAACGAAATTTTTTAGGTTAAATTGGAGAAGAAATAAAATATTTGACATAATTTAGGTAACATTTTTATTATTTATTTATTTTTTTATTCAAAAATAAAGTTGTACAAATTAAAGATAACCGTCGTTTATTAATTTTTGTCGCTCATCTCATTTTAAAATTCAAGTGAATTTTAAAAGCATATTTTTAAATATTAAAATAATGTATTTAAAATTTTATTTTTTAAATATTTTTTACATAAATCAAATTTTAATTGATAAAAAAAAAGTTTGTCACCACTTTGATAAATTAAATTTGTTCAAATTTTTTAATGCTCTTTTTTTTTTGGAGCATAATTTATTTCTCCTAATTTGCTCCCAAATAAGGATGTGATTGGAAGGAAAAGGAAAGAATTAAGGAGAAGGAGACAATCCTTAAATAGTAGACTGCGTGCCATCAATGCCCTTCCACATTATAGCTAGAGGGTATATATCATTTCATATTCTTAATTAATTACTTTAATTAAATCTTATTAATTTTAATTTTATTCCTTAAACCACTAGTACTCTTTGAATTGACCAACATCTACATCCACCATGTTAATACAAACATTTCCACATTTTCTCTTATCATACCGTGAAAAGGAGAGGCAGAGAAATTAAGCAAGAATTATAATAATTTAATATATAATATATAATATAGGTTGGTGGGTGGGCAAGGACTCCTAATAAGAAATTTCATTAACAGAGTTAACATCATTATCACCACATTTTATTTTGTTTATTGAATTGTCACTTGTTCCGTTCTTAATGCCTACACTCTCCTATTTTAGAGCTATTAATTTGTATATTTTTATTTATTTATTTTGTGTTTAATATATGTAAAGTATAAAAATTATTATATTATAATTCTTGTTGATACATAAATAAAAAAATATTTTGTTTATTTTTATCAAATTTATATATTTTTTTATTAAAATTTTAAATCATATTACCTTCATTTTTTTCATATAATTTTAATATAAGGTCAAAAAAGCCTTCCAATAAAAATTTAATAATTATTTAAGTACTTAACATTTTATTACAATTAATCAAATCCTAAATTTTTTATTTTAAATCAATTGAGCCATTAAACATTTATTTTTATCTAATTGAATCTTTATACATTTATTTTCATTCAATTAAGCCTTCGATTGGATAGAAACAGTGAATTATTTTTCTTTTAGTAAAGATTTAATTGATAAAAATAGATGTTTGAGAGTTTAATTCATTATAAAAAAATAATAAAGACTTAAATTATTAAATTTTAATTCACAAGCTTCATTTACCTTTTTGCCTATGATTTTTATATGATGTCAACATATCCTATATATCTCTTTCAATTTAAACTTCATGTGTTTATACATATATATATATATATATATATATACACATATACATATATATATGTAAAGGATCTTGGGGACCTCCGCTACAGCTTAGAAACCTGTAGGACAGGGACGGTGATTCCAAATTAAAGCCAGTTGGAAACCTTGAAATTATGGGGAAGAAAATATTAAGTAAAGTGCAAGTGAAAATATCTAAGACTGATTCAAGTGAAAAGAAGCAACTCAACAATTTGCTAAAGGTGTTGCGGCCCAAGGTGTACATCACTGACAGCTGCAGCTTCAAAAGCCTTGTTCAAGAGCTAACTGGCAATGGAACAACTGTTTCACGGTTATCTTCACCTTCTTCCTCTAATTCTTTACCCCAAATCGTTGAGAAATTGCCTGTTATTGATGATGGAAACCCTGAAAGTAGCATGGAATCATCATTTGATGCGTCGCTTGAGTCAATATTCCAGGAGTGCAACCATTCAGCCTTGAGTTCTGAAGAGATGAATCAAGACTATAACTATGATCCTATGCGTTTTGATGAGATGAATTCATCAGATTACTTGTTCATGAATATCCAGCAAGAGGATCCATTGGCATTTGGAGATCTTCAGACATTGCTATTCGATGTTGATGAGCAATATTACCCTAATTCCTTCAATGGCTATTCTCAAATTCATCAGCAGGAGGTCAGCATTTATGATTATGAGGTATCAGGACTGATATGAAATAATCCGCTCCATTAGTTAAATTCCTATATATATATATATATGGTTTTTGTTGTACAGTTTTAATCTTGTTGTTGTAATTATAATAAATACTCAGATCAATATTCATAGAAGTAGTAGAATTAATATTAGAAGAGCGTATTTTTTTTTCTATTTCA